GGTGTACAATAGATAAATTAGTGGTTTTCCACTGAAATAGAAATTCTTTCATGCATTTTTTTGGAAAGAGAATATGTTACTGTATCTTAGATGGACTTATCAGTGACTCAATTGTACTTCCTGTATCTCATCTACACCAGCTACCTTTCCACCCACCACTGTCATTATTATGAACAGTTTCCTCTTTCCCAGTCTCCCTGTCCTTGCTCAAAGCTTAAGGGCCAAGCCTGAGTGTTTTCCAATCATGTTGCTTTTCTGATCCCAGTTTCACTTAAAACAGAGTCTAAGATAAAAATAAATTGTTCTAGACAGTTAACTGTAACCACTTGCATGAAAATCTCCTATGAATGCTTCTTAAGGATGGAATTCCTTGGAACCTTCCACACTTGTAAAATCTGGTGGAGGCAGGGACAAGTTTTTGGACAAGTTAGAGACTCACTGGCTTAAGGACAAAAATATATATAACATGCTTAACCCTATTCAGCTAAACTAAATAAGACTGAAATCTCAGGGGGAGTTGGGGGTGGGTGGGTGGGTGGTAAGAGATCAACCAAAGAACTTATGAATATGAATAACCCATGTATAGGGACAATAGGGTGGTGAAGGCTTGGGGTGGGGGTGGGGGTGGGGCTGTGCTAGGAAGTGTCAATGGGGGTGAGGGGCATCTGTAATACTATCAACAATTAAGATTTAAAATAAGATGAAAGTTGGTGGAAATTTGCAAAAAGCAGATTAATGGTGGAATTAGGAGATGTAATACTAATGACCTTCCCTATAATTTTTATCAAAATCTGGCTATGATTATTTGCAAGTTGAGTATCTGGGACATTAATCCATTAATGACTTTTCTAGGCACTTGGCTAAGTGTTATTTTATCATGTGGAGTTTTTTTTTTAACTGAAACTATACTCAGACACACATTAGATAGCAAACACAATAAAGAAAAATTCATAATCATTCTCTGTTGGTTTCATTTTCTTTTCCACTCTACTGCAGTTTAACTACTTATTTATTCAAATCTGTTGATCTTGAATTTTCTTATTATGTCAAGGCTCAAATTCTGAAAAATCATATTTCCTTTTCTAGATAGCATATCTTTTTTTATAACATTTAGCTCTAATAAATTCCAATTTTGTGGTATCATATAAAATTAACTTTTGTTTCCAGATCATAATTCAAATTCTGATAACTCATTGCCTAGACTTACTTTGCTCATATTTTTATGCATTACAATTGGTTCCAAAGAGCTATATCTCTGCCTATGGGATGAGCACCATATTATTATTATCATCGCTTTTAAATACATTTTCCAATGAACCTGGGAACACAGTTATCTCTTCAAGGTAGTGATTTTATTCCCTGTGAGACAACACCAGAAGAGAGATCACTGGATCATATGGTAGCTCTGTTTTTGTTTCTTTGAGGAAATGTCATACTGTTTTTTCATAATGTCTACCTATACCAATGTACATTACCACCAATAGAGTAAAAGGGTTCCCTTTTCTCCACATCCTTTCCAACACTTGTTATTTTTTTTTTTATTATAGCCATCCTAATAGGTATAAGGTGAGATCTCATTATGTATTTGGTTTGCATTTCCCATATGACTGGTGATGTTAAACATCTTTTCATATACCTATTAGCCATTCGTGATAGCCAAGATACGGAAACACCTAAATGTTTATTGATAGATGAATGGACACAGACATTGTGGTATATATGATTTGATATTATTCAGCCTTCAAATTATTCATCACTTGCAACAACATGGATAAATCTGGGAAATATTATGCTAAGTAAAATAAGCCAGATACAGAAAGAAAAAAACTGCATGATCTCACATGTGGAATCTAAAAAAAAAAAAATCATATACATAGAAGGACAGAGTAGAACAGTGGTTAGGAGACTGGGGGAATAGGGAGATGTTGATCAAAGGGTACATATTTGCAATTATGTATGGTAAGCGAGTCTAGAGATCTAGTGTACAAAATTATGACAATAGCTAATAACACTGTATTACATGCTGGAGATTTGCTAAGAGTAGATCACAGGTGCTCTCATTATACACAAAAAAATTAAAAAGTAACTATGTGAAAAGATGATATATTAATTAGCTTGACTGTAGCATTATATGTGTAAAGTGATAATTCTTTACACCTTAAATATATGCAATTTTTATTAAAAAACAAAATATAAAAAAATCAATACATTATATTTTTTGGACCATCTACATACTTGTACTTCTTTAGGAAAGTTATTGACAATATCTATCTACTTAAATTTCTAAGTGAACATGGAATTATTTTCTTAAATTCTGTGACTTATTGGATTTTTAACAGCAACATTAAATCTAAAATATAAATTGGGAATGGACCACAAAATATTTAGTTTTTTATCTAAGACTTTGCAAACATTCTGTATATATATATGTATTTCATAAAACCTTTGATTTGACTCAATATGACTTTGTCGTTCATTTATTCACAACCATTTCTGATCATACTTTGTTTTTATTGCTAGTATAAATAATATCTCTACTATATTATATTCACCTGGTATCCAGATCATGTGTGATATAGATTTTTAGGTAACATAGACCATTGCTAGCCATAGGTTTTTACTCTTGAGGCTGGCAAAACCATAATAAAAACCATTGTCTCCTAGAGAGTATGGTTAAAAAAGTAGTTTAAAGCCAAATTCACTATAGCTAAAATATAAGAACATTAATCTGCTACAAATCATCCACTTAAAAAAAACCCTAAAATTTCACAGACTTCAATTGTCTATTGCCAATAGGGTCCCGGTATGCTGAGATAGATCCTCCTACAATTTAATATTGGGTATATTGCATCTCATTTTAAAATTTCATAAGCCAGATTTTAATGATTTTAAAATTAATGACCTTTAGATTTACATTCTCTGTTGATTTCTATTTTGCATATTTTGTCTCTATTGAGTTCTTTAAGGGCATTTAAAAATATTGTTTTATTGATTTTTTTAATTTTTTAGAGAGAGAGGAAGTGAGAGATATTAGTGACATTTTCTCCACAGGCAATCATCAGAACAATAAATCATATCTTGATTTGCAGCATTTGGCAATTTATGGGTCAATATTCCCACCGTGGTTGATTACAAGCTACCAACATAATTTCACTAAATGTGCAGCTGGGGAAAGATGTGCAGTAGTACACTATTATACAATATTTCTGCCATATGGATACTATAGATGAATAATGTAGCAGAATAATTAGGGAGTTTTGAATATCTATTAGCCTTTGTTTTTAATATTGTATTTTAATTGTAAGCTTCTATAATTTAATTTCAAATAATTACTGTGTTTAACAACCTGCTTACCAAATTTCTGAAAATGTAATAATGGACTGTCACAAGCTGGTATGAACTGACTACAGTCCTCAAGTGAAATAAAATCTGAATGAGAAGGCTCTGTGTATGCAATATTGAAGGCTAGTTTATAAGATGGACTTAGCCTACTGTGATAAGTTGCAGACAAATTATCTTTAATAAGTGAAGCTTTTATAAAAGTAAGGCATAGAAAATACAAGTTTGAAAGGTATTAAGCATGTTATTGAGTGATTTGAAATTATTTGATGAGCTACTACTATATTTAAGATACTGTAATGTGCCCTGGTAATATATAAAGGTAAATACAGATATAATTTCTACCTTTGGAGAATGAACACTAGTTGCTAGATTAGACCTGCAAACAAACAAAATATTGTGAGGAATATATATATATATATATATATATATATATATATATATATATATATATGGCTAAACGACTATCATAGCCAAAACAACTGAACAGACAACTGAACAGGCTGTGTGAAGCAACCAGGCTAGCAGAGGGGTTATTGAGGGATGACCAAATAACTGAGCAGCAGGCTGTGTGGGGTGGCCAGGCCAGCAGGGGGGTTAGTAAGGGGCCACCAAACAACTGAGCAGCAGGCTGCATGGGGTGCATGGGGCTACCAGGCCCATAGGGGGGCAGTTGGGGGTGACCAGAATGGCAGAGGGGGCAGTGAGGAGGGGCAGTTGGGAGTGACCACACCAGCAGGGGTGCAGTAAGGGGCAACCAGGCCAGCAGGAGGGCACTAAGGGGCGACCAGGCCAGTGGGGGAGGGCAGTTGGGGGCAACCAGGCAGCAGGGGCAGGCAGTTGGGGGTGACTATGCCTGCAGGGGTTGCAGCTGGGGGTGACCAGGCCAGCAGAGGGGGGCAGTAGATGCATCAGGCACCCAAGCAGGTGAGCAGTTAGGAGCCAGTGGTCCCAGATTGTAAGAGGGATGTCCAAGGGGTCCCAGATTGGAAAGGGTGCAGGGTGGGCTGAAGGAACTTGCCCCATGCACAAATTTTGTGCACTGGGTCTCTAGTGTATTATGATAAATACAGGTATGTTCTGAGAGCTATGGGAGGAGATGACAGAGTGACTGACTGATATCACCTCTGTGGTACTTTCCCAGTAATTTATAGCCTCAATTTAATCATGTGGAAATATCAAGCAAACCTATATGGAAGAGCCTTCTATAAAATAGCTGACCAGTCTTATTTACAAGTTCTTGAGTCGCTATAATTTCATTAAAAAGCTGTAAAGTCCAGTCACTGTGGTTCAGTGGTTGAGCATCAATCTGTGGATCAGGAGGTCACGGTTTGACTTTCGGTCAGGGCACATGCCCAGGTTGTGGCTCAGTCCATGCAGGGGACATGCAGGAGGCAGCCAATCAGCGACTTTCTCTCATCATTGATGTTTTTATCTTTCTTTCCCTCTTCCTTCCTCTCTGAAATATTTTTTAAATAATAAAAAACCATTAAAAACACATATTTTATAAATTTGACAACAGTTGAAAATACCTGAAAATATATTATTTTAAAAAGATTTTTTCATTCATTCAATGAAGTAATTACAATGTTACCTGCTAGCCTGTCTAAAATAAGAGTGTACAGATAATTTTATAACATGTCTATCACTTCTCTTGACAGGTGACTCAGCTAATCTAACCTGCAGAGCTTTCTTTGGGTACAGTGGAGATGTCAGTCCTTTAATTTATTGGATGAAAGGAGAAAAGTTTATTGAAGATCTGGATGAAAATCGAGTTTGGGAAAGTGACATTAGGTAAAATATTTTTTTTTCTTTTACCTTGTAGTCAAGATTAACATTTACTCTGTTGGTGTCAAGAAAGTAAGCTAAAATAAAATATTTGTTTTGTTTTGTTTTGTTTTACTATTATAATGAAAACATTGAGACATATATTGGCAAAGAGGCAAAACACTGTTAAGAGCCTATGAAATTGTAAAACATGAATGCCATTTGTAAATAATTTAAGAGAAATAAAAATTAGTTTTTCATTGAGGAGTGAACTGAATGTGAGACAGATCAAAATATAGAAAATGTGATATTGTGCCTTTTTTTTGTAAGAGCTTTTTTTAATTGTTAAGAGGAAATACTAACAAGGTAAAAGGATTCAACCAAACACAATCTCTGTCATTTTCTTTTATATGTTTTCATATTTGAGGCAGCAAGTAGACTATAAAGTACTTGGTAGGAATGATAAAGGATCATTAAATGTTTTAATTACCTTTTTAGCCTAACTTTAAGGTCTAAATATGAATATAGTGGGAGTGATAGAGAATAAGCACTCAAAATACCATCTATTTGAGGACATAATTCTTTTTAAAAATATATTTTATTGATTTTTTTTTACAGAGAGGAAGAGAGAGGGATAGAGAGTTAGAAACACCTATGAGAGAGAACCATCAATCAGCTGCCTCTTGCACATCCCCTACTGGGGATGTGCCTGCAACCAAGGTAATGCTCTTGACTGGAATCGAACCTGGGACCTTTCAGTCCGCAGGCCAAAGCTCTATCCACTGAGCCAAACCGGTTTTGGCTTGTGGACATAATTCTTAAGCCTCTTTTAAAAAATAATTTAAGTATTCAGGTATTCAGTTATGACTAAAATTATGCTTGGGCATAGATACTCATTTATTATTGATCTTAAAGAAAGGAGGAGGAGAGAGAGGGAGAGAACCATGAATATAAGAAAGAAACATCAGTCAGTTGCCTCTGGCACATGCCCCGACCCAGGATCAAACTTGCAACCTGGATATGTGACCTGACCTGGAATCAAACCTGACACCTCTTGGTGTATGGGACAAAGCTCCAACCAACTGAGCCATATGGGTCAGGACCATAGATATTGATTTTTAATCATAATGTACACAAACAAGGATAGTAATAATAATTACGTTAAGACTAAGTCCAGCTGAAACTGGTTTGCCTCAGTGGATAGAGCATCAGCCTATGGACTGAAAGGTCCCAGGTTCAATTCCAGTGCTGGATATGCAGGAGGCAGCTGATCAATGTTTCTCTCTCATCAATGTTTCTAACTCTATCTCTCTTCCTTCCTCTCTGTAAAAAATCAATAAAATATATATTATTTAAAAAAAAAGACTAATTCTAAATGCTGATCATTTGTAAACACTCTCCCATCTAAAGGTCACAACTTCTGGGAGTACATGAGCATTTATCAAAGATTCATCTTCTTGAAAGAGGACACTTTTAATAACAAGGGCTTTTAAACTTGATCAAAGGTATAAAGGAAAAAGTTTTTCAGCAAAATATAAAAACACATAAAACTGTCATCTAAGGTTATTTCTTCTAGGATTTTTTTCCCCTGGCAACAGCTACACAAGAATCTTATACTCCAACTGTGTTCTGAAATGCCCAGATGGGCAATCCTCCAATATGTACTACAGTGTTCCCCTGCCTTTTATCATTTACTCATACACTTTGAAATGCTAACGTTAAAGAAGAACAACAAATCTCCTCATTTCCCCCCTTTCCCTTTTTGTGGGTGGTCAGGGAATGTTCCAGAAAGGTATTATTCTTTAATTATGCATTAGAAAGTGTTGTGCAGAGATGAGTTGCCAGACAGATGGGAAGGTAAAGGAGGCTGAAACGCTTTGAACAGGGAAAGGAAGCTTTAACTCTGAAATTTTGCATTTGCTCAGAAAGATTGCTAAAATCTTCAACAGTGAGATTAGTGAACATTTACCATTAATTTTAAATGTCACAATGAAGCACTTCATCAGAATACTTTGTCTACATGTTTATAACTTCATATTTCTTTAAAAACAGGCAATTGATTTGTATAATTTTTAAAAAGGCCAGGTTGGAGGTTTCAACTGAAATGTCAATATACCTCAAAATTTTTCTATTCTTCCTTATTTTTTTATTAACCTGTATATAATTTGTCCTCTAGCCTAAAACATTAGACTATCTTATCTCACCTTTACATCATATTTCTTCTTAAAGGGAAAGCTATCCTAAACTTTTCTTCAAGGTCTCTCTCACCTCTTTATTATGACAGTGCGATTGTCCTGTTAAGAGAGATAATGAACTGCAACTTCATTAACATTTACAAAGACAAACTTACTCATTAGAAATGAGAAGGGCATGGTATGATTTTGTTAAAATAGCATAAATCCATAGCTCAATTTGAAGTAAAGATGCTGTAGGTATTTTCACATCAGATTTAGATTCATCTACTTTATTTTTTTTTATTTTTATTTTTTGTCGTGTATGTGTATGTTTGTGTGGGGTTTTTTGTTTCGTTTTGCTTTATATTTTAGAATTCTCAAGGAGCATCTTGGGGAACAGGAAGTTTCCATCTCATTAATTGTGGATTCTGTACAAGAAGGTGACTTGGGAAATTACTCTTGTTATGTTGAAAATGGAAATGGACGTCGGCATGCCAGCATTCTCCTTCACAAACGGGGTGAGTATATGAGTATAACCTTCTAAGCTTGAGTGGTCAACTGAACCTATAATGAGAGGGAAATAAGTGGGAACCAGAAAAAATAATGGTTTTTCTACATAAATTTATTCTAAATAAAATAATCACATTAACATTCAGTTTATCAAGGCAGATAACACAGTAGATGGGAGACTAGCTCAGACTCTAGAGCACATGTGTCAAACACAAGGCCCGTGGGCCAAATCCGTCCCGCCAGGCCTTCCAATGTGGCCCGCACCGCGCTGTCATCACTGCACTCCGCTGCGTTTCCATCACAATGACAGTTTATGACTGTTCAGTAAACCATTCGGCCCGCGATTTAGGCTGGATTTTAGATTTTGGTCCCTTCTCTGATTGAGTTCGACACCCCTACTCTAGAGTCAAATTTGGATTTATCTTTGCTTTAATACCAACTGTATAACCTTGGGCATGGTGTCTAACTTCCCTGTGCTTCAGTTTCCTGATACATGTCAACTCTTCACTGTGTTTTAAGATGAAGGAGACAAGAAGTAAAGACTTAGGCATAAAGCATATACAGAGGAAGTATTTAGTTAAATATAACTTATTAGTGTTAGAAAGAAGCAAATCAATGAAAAATAACTGACATAGTTTTTTTAAAAATATATCTTACTGACTTTTGTACAGAGAGGAAGGGAGAGGGAAAGAGAGTTAGAAACATCGATGAGAGAGAAACATCAATCAGCTGCCTCCTACACACTCCCTACTGGAGATGTGCCCACAACCAAGGTACATGCCCTTGACTGAATCAAACCTAGGACCCTTGACTCCACAGGCCGACGCTCTATCCACTGAGCCAAACTAGTTAGGGCTGAAGTAGTTTTAAATCCAAGATTGTGTTTCCTATTAGAGGGTGATTCCTTTAGTGTAAAAATATGTCCAATGGATTCCCCATTGTATTACTTATTGATATTTTTCTGCCTTGGATGACTTTTACATGTGCAATATCATCCCATGATTAATGACGACTCATTCATTGTGCATTAATGAATTACTATTCAACTATAATTTATTAACAATGATCAAGTAAGATAGATTGTAGATGATTGCAACATCTGCCTCACTAAATCTGGTCCCACAACAGTCCTAATGCCTTGTGTACAAGGTTAAAATATTATATATAAATATATTGAATTGTTTGAAATTAGTAATAATTATAAAATTTGATCCATTTTAATTGGTGAAAGGTTTCATATGCAAGAGAAAAATATTTTTCCATTTTATGCTAAGTGAAAACTCTCCAGTTTTTGCCACAGCTACACTTGTTGTTCTCTTACTCAGCAAATTCACAATGATTTTAAATTCAAAGTATATGTTTAATCCTAGACTTTTTGAGGTTTGAAAATAAAAAGAACATTAAAGACTATATCCCCCCACCTTATTGGGCAATAGAATCCCTTTGAATAATGTTACTTAAAACTATTAAAACAGACACCTTTGTTGTCAAGGTGACCGCAATATTAAAATACTCTACTTTGGAAGAATGTAAGGGAAAGGTAAACAGCAGTTAGCAATATGATTGTTTCTTTCTCCAGCCAACATATTTATTAAGTCAATGGAGGAATTTAGAGTAGAAATATATTATATATGTAAAAGAATAAAAATTGCTTCTCAGGGCTGGAAACACTTAAATGTTATGTAATTGAACTACTCCACAAAATCTTCCCAAGTTATCAAATAGCTTATACTGGATCATATTCCTTCTCAAGGAAGCCAATTCTATCTTTGGAAAGCCTAACTACTAGAAAAGCATCCCTATTTCACTGTCTGCCCCTTGAGTGCAGTTCTGGACTTTTATTTATTTATTTATTTATTTATTTATTTATATTTTATTGATTCTTCACAGAGAGGAAGGGAGAGGGACAGAGAGCTAGAAACATTGATGAGAGAGAAACATTGACCAGCTGCCACCTGCACACCCCTCACCAGGGATGTGCACACAACCAATGTACATGCCCTTGACCAGAATCGAACCTGGGACCTTTCAGTCCACAGGCCAACGTTCTATCCACTGAGCCAAACAGGTGTCGGCAAGCCCATTAAAAGTTTGATGACAGTCAACATGATTCTTCTGGATCTTTACTTTCCAAGATTCAACTTGGAAAAGTTGAATTTAGTCTTATTCACTCTTCCTTTGTATGTATAAATTACTTTCACCATCCTGACCATTGTCTTCAATAAGCTCTAATCAAAGAGTCTAAATTATTCCCCAATAAAGGAAGTAGTAGAGAGAATATGTAGGGCATAAATGAAAATCTGTTTACTTGAACAACTGGTATTTCATTTTGGGACAAGGTAGGAGTGACCGTTAAGTATTATAATAAGGAGAGAAGAAGAAAAATGAAATGTATCTAAGGAGGATGCAACTATTAAAGTTCTGTTCTTATAAACAGGCACATAGCCAGGAAAAGTTAAACACCAAGGCTTATTTTTAGCATGTGTGACCTAAGGTTAAGTTGCCCATAGCTAGAAAAACTTCCAGCACCACAAAACTAAATGGTTGAAGAGTCAAGGAAACTGAAAAAAAATTTTCACAATAATGTCTGACTACCTAAACATAAAGAGGAAAATTGTGGCCAATGTTAAAGCACCTTTCAATAGCTATATCTTCCACAATGTTTTACAAATTTCTATTTCTACCAACAGCATTTTATTCTTAGTAAAATAAAAGCATTAAGAAACCAAAAAATATCCTCCAAGGTCATATTCTAAAAGTTCCTCTGAAAGTTAGTGAGTGCCTTCTTTTTTTAAAAAAATATATTTTATTGATTTCAGAGAGAAAGGGAGAGAGAAAGAAAGAGATAGAAACATGAGTGATGAGAAAGAATCAACGAGCTGCCTCCTGCACACACCCTATTGGAAATCAAGCCCACAACCGGGCACTGAGCCACACCGGCCCTCCTATGCCTTCATTCTCATTCTAAGGGAGCTACAACAAATAAGTCATCAATTCACAAAGGCAACAACACATCCAAGGTCCTGTCCTTGAGAGATTTATAATTGTGTGGGATTGTTATCAGAGAAATGCGTGGATGGTCTTCTACTATTGCTGGTGGGAGTGAGGTTCATGGGGTACCACTGGGATAAGCATTTCCGGAGGCCCCCATGAGAGGATAGGATGTGGTAGAAAGCTTCATTTTTTGGAATTACATCCCTCAGGTGACAAAGTCCCATTTTCCTTAATCCAGTCCTGGAAGAGGTACAGCTAGGGATTAAGCAGAGGTAGAAGCAAAGCCAGTGTCCAGAGTGTCTCCGTTCCATGGTAGACCTGGGTCTGGTTTAGCATTAGGCTAGTTACAGTCTGTCAGCCCATTGTATATGAGATCCACATGGCTATGGGCCATATGGGAGAATATACAGGAGCCAGGAGAGCACCCCCCGACCCCCCTGCAACAAGAGTCCCAAGAGTCCCGAGAGAGAAAAAGAGAGAACGCCTTTGTTTAGGAGCTTAAGTATCTGAAATCTTCCCACTTGTAATTGGCCAAGCCTACTCTGGCCAATGACCTGATCCAAGGTGTGACTGACAGATGAGGACCTTCCCTGTTTCACCCAGGCTTTGCTGGGCATGCATCTAAACTGCAGCTTCCTTGAGAAGCTGCACAAATGTCATGTCTATAAACTGGCCTTCCCTTTGCTCCTTTCCTCTTATTAATAACCAGGTTTATTGCAACAGTATCAGAATGATCTAGCCCAACTATTTGTGGGGAAAAAAGATGATGTTGATTAACTTATGGTTTAACTTCAAGTTCACCAGCTCTGCAAGTTTCAAAAGGTTTGGGCACACACAGAGCATGTAAGCTAATAGTTTGGGGTTTTGATCACAGTGTCCCTGAAAGAGTCAAATTGCTGTCTTGCTAGCAATTAGGTCAATTATCATATGAGTTGCTATATTACTCACAAGACTAAAGCTGAGAGAAGGAACTGGAAGCTGTCACAATTAATCATATTTTACTGCCATTGATTCATAAATCCCTTAACTTATCGTACGGGCCTTCAAAGTCTTTCTTTTTAAGACCTCTCTAGAGAGGTATGTTAAAGCATTTGAAGAACACAGATTTTTTTTCAAACCACAAATTATCAGTTCTGACAGGTGAACTTGCCAGGACACATCTTTGCCAAAGTTACCTAAGCATTTTTCCCTCCACTATTACTTTTTCTTCAATATTGTTTATTAATAAAAGTGATTCTAGAGCCTTCCAATGAGTGGTATGGGTTCTTGGAGATTTTACTCACCTGTATTAAATGAGTCTTCCTAAATGAATAGAGGATACTGCAATAAATAATTCAGCTAGAACTAAGCTGGGTTAGATTCTGGACCAACCTTTTATCTAGTGGGGAAAAAAAAGGTGTAGTTCCACAAAAACTGGCTAAAAATTTACCAGAGAATTAAACCATTGAAAACTTTGCTTGAGAATATTCCAAGTTGTCTATTCCTGCAGAGAGGATACACATTTGGACAGTTAGGATTATGGTAAACCTTCAATATAGACATATTTCATATACTATACAAAGAACTAGGTGCAGTGAAAGAGAGACAAAGAATTCTTTAAATTGCATTGATATTACGCATTCCTAAGGGCCATTGGGCCATATTAGTCTTTGATTGTCCTGCCTCTTATTTCTCACCTTAGTCCTTGGCCTGACAAGCTTGAAAATTAGGCCCTGACTTTACAAAGTACCAAAGCACAGTTGATACATTCACTACTGTGTCAGTTCTTGTCCCACTATTGTTCATACGTTCCATATATAAGACTCTGAATATTTTACCCAGATGTGCTTGCTTTGGTTTCTAATAGTGGGGATCTAACTTGACTTGCATCAAACACTGATCTTCAGATTTCCTCCAAAACCCTAAGCTTTCCAATTCCCTCCATTTTTACAATTTCCGTTTCCCTGACACAAACAATTCCCCAGATGGAAACTGTTGGGGTTCAAAGTAGGCCAACCCAAAATATCCCATAATG